ATAATAAACTAATTTAAAACTAATAATAACCAAAATGAGTAAAAAAATGACAAAAATTACGATAATTTTTATATTTTTTCCAACATAAATATTAATTGCATTAACCTCAAAAGAAGATTTTAACCGTTTTTATTGGTATACCAAGCCAACAGCTCGTACTTATCTAGCAATACCAAAAGCTATAAATTGCTCTACCCCAGACCTTTCAGCAGTTGTACCTATGAGAATAAATTTTTATACTAGAGGTATCTCAAAAACTGTAGGTCATTCCTGCTATAATATATCAAGAGAAGTTTGCACTAACTACTTTTTTGAATTCACAATGGGAGTACGGAAGAATAAAACGACCAAAGAAGCTATTGCAGTCCCATTATGTCGGAAACTAGTCAACACAAAATATTGAAATAAATTAGAATTAAAACAATTAAGTAATAATAGTTGGGATACTAACAATTTTTTGGAATATAGTTTTGGCTGGTGGGGAACTTGATGTACTACCACTTATAACTTATATCTTAAAAAAAGGGGAAGTCGCCTCAACAGACGATAACCATATTATTACTACACTTGGGAATGCTGCAGGGTGTTATCTTCGAAAAGGACTATGCGTGACACGAGAAAATACTCTCACATAAAATCCAAATGTATTTATACATGAATGTCATTATAGATACAAAGGGTTATTTACAGCTCAATTAACAAAGGATACAATCTACATAAAATATTTACAATTAGCCCTAATATATAAAAATTCAGATACGCTGCATCCTGCTTGAGAACAAGCGTGTAATATTTATTTTAGTAAAAAATCACGAAGAGGAGCAGTATTCAATACAGGGATTCATGATTCATTGCTTAAAATGCATAGTTATGGACTAGATACAAGTATAAAATTTAATAACACTACTAACAAAAATAAAACTATCAATCAACCATTTGATTCTAACAATCCAAAACTACAATATTTACATGAAGTAATTAAAAGGCATGTAGAAGAAAGATTTAATTGTGCATTTAGATAATGAAATAATAGAGACAGTTCACAAAGCGGGAGTTAGGCTATTCTTTCAAGATCAAATAGATCAGGTATTATATGATATGGGAAATACAATGCAGGATGCAGCGCACAATATAAAAGATTCAATTAATCAAGGAATATTCCTCTAGAAATATAAATGGTTTATAATAAGTGCTATATTACTGGTATTACTATTTTCTGCTGCTACTTATTATTCGGCTGTTGGGGAAATTCTCCTAATTATTTTAATAATTCTCAAAAAATTAATTGGTAATCCTATACTTCATATTATCAGACATCTCTGTAATAAGAATAAATCAAATCAAAGGCCCCAACTAGCATTAAGATATTTGTCACACGAAGAACCAATTGAAGAGGATGCCATTGGACATGACACTCTGACTATCCAACCTATTCAACCAATGAATTATGAAGAGCCCAACTAGTTTTTGATCAAGCAGTAAAATTCCAGAAGGCAGATGTACCAAGTTATAGTAGAAAATGCGAGCAACACAGTCTTCTTATCAAACCAAAACTAGAGGTACCAGAAAAAAATCAACAAGTGCCGGCAGAAATGCCAGCAGAAATACCAGTAGAACCAGAAGAACCAATAAATGAACCTTCACAAGACAGGAGAGAGATACATTGGTAAAATTTCTAATGTGATTGGTATATTGATAACTATTTCTTAAAAAACTATCCCTTAATAAAAATAATAATAAACTGAAATAAACAATATATATATATATATATAAGAATTTATTAATATATTAATATATTAAAATTTTATAATACGTAATGTTATTGTATAATTTTTTGTATATAGCATTTTTCCCAATCCAAATTATATGTACTAATTGGTAAAAAGGGGTGCAACGGCAGCTTCGAATGAAGTTCAATTATTGGTCGATAATAGGGATTAACCTCTAGCAGTGGAAGTGTCGCTAAATGCAAAAAATAAAAGATCAAGGATCAGAAGATCAGAAGTGGAAATCAACAAAGAATTGAGGAATAAGAAAGTTTAATTATCCAGAAGCAAAAAAGTTATCATTGATTGCCAGTAAAGAGGTCATTAACTAATTGGATGATAAATAACCCCAAGATATAACATATGTAAGTGAAACCCAAGAATGAAAAATGATAAAATGACAGAGATATCGCCAAGAATAATAAAACAATTGAGATTACAGTTACTTTTACATCAAGAGAAATGATGGACACGAAGTTACAGTTATACCAAGAAGTACAAATAACATACTTTTGTAAGTTGGAAAAAATTTTAAATATTATATAATTAGAACATATTGTAAAAGGTACTTTTCATAAGATTAATGTATTTACAATTTGCTTTCATTGAGACATTATAAAAAGCTAATTACGAAAATACTAGGTTCTTTTTCTTGAAGCTATTAGTGACGTATTGTATTCTCTCTCCTTGTATTTTCAGAAAACTTAATAAAAGTATTCGCAAAAGAAGTTTTATCAACACTTTAAATCCGCGTGGTAGGCTATTATCCACTCAAAGAAGTTAAACTGAATCGGCACTCTCCTAATAAAGGATAGCTTACTTTCTTTCTGTAAGCACTGTGAAACCAAACATTTATTTTTATTCTACTTCTTTCTGCGACAGCAACTGCTGTCATCGAAAGACGAAAGCTAATAAGATTTAGACAAGTAAAGCATTTTCAACTTTTGGTGCAATTTTCGACTAAGTTTGAAAAAAGCTTTTAAAAAGGATACGAGAGTTTTGTAACGAGTATACAAATCGAATCCACAAATACTTTTACACAGTTTATTCACGAAGAGTATTCCAACAAACCCAGAAAAATTGAATTATTTTTTAACTCTGACTCATATTTAACGCTGTTTTCCAAAAAGTCAGAAATGTCGGTCAGTTCTCTGTTTTCTTTCCTTATCTAAATGAATTGCTGTCTGATGAAAATTACCTTACAAAAAAGTAAGCCAAGCAACAAGTTTTTTAATAGTTATATAAGGTAACCCTTTAGTTTCCTTCAACTTTGAGAAAAAACATTCTTTTACAGTTGGAAATAACAGGTATTTCTGAGTTATTGAAATACAAAATTGGGAAAAGGTTAAACTGATGTAATTTCACCTATAATTCTAACATAGTTAAAACTGGACAAAAACGCCATAATAGAAAAGTTCATATCAAACAAAAAGAATTAAATTTTTAAATTTTTCTAGCATTTTATCAAGGCATTAATAGGTTTATAAGGCCGAGACATTTGATGTTGTTTGACCTGCGTTTTCGTTGACTTCTAAAGTGTCGTCTATAGACGTCGAACGACAAAACGGACAATGATTTTGCTTCAGATAAGCTAGTTCAAAGTCATCCATTAAAAACATCTGTAAAATTCTGGTGCCGAGGAGAACTTTATATAATGTTTTTGGAAACAACTTTTACGTACAGTTATGGTTGGTTAGTTTTTAGCAGCAGTTACTAAGAAATAAATAACTTATAAAGAAAATAAAGGTCTTATAAGCGTTTAGCTGCATTATTATTGGTATATTATTTCATCAACATTTCCGGACAAATAATGAAAATCAAGAAAAGCTTAATCTTACGTGCTGACAATAGTTGCATTTGGATATTGCTATTTCTGGAACAATGTTGTAGTAAAAACGAGTTTTCAGCGGTGGAGGATTAGTAACCATGAAAACTTGACTTTTCTCAAGTGATAACAAATCATCCCGGTCAAGAGATAAAGTTTCCTCTTTTTTTCCAAGTTTTGCCAGCTTAAAGTAAAAAACTAGTGTTACAGAACATACCGAACATAAAGAACATATTTACAAACGAATGTTCCTTCCATATTTAAAAGTCGAAGAAACTACTTTTTGCTGAAAGCTGGTTCCTTTTTCTTCGTTCAACGATTCTGCCTCAATAAGTTCCATCGCCTCATCTAGCTGAATATTGTCTGCTAGAGTAAATTCTACTAGCGGTAATATTTCTGAAAAAAAAACTAGAAGTTTATTTGAGTATCTGAAACATACTTTGCTGTTCACAAAACCAGATCATAAAATTGTGTTTTTTTGTGGGGGCAACATACTGAAAAATTGACTACATAAGTAAAAATCAGTCACAGAGGGTAATTCTACTTTTTTTGCTTCTAGAGACTTGTGTTTTGGTTATAGGTTACACGATAACTAATAGCGAAAGAAGCACAAATTTTGATAAATTTTTTGCCAATAGTTAACTGAAGGATTAATAAGACAATTCTGTAATATCCACAAATCACTTACCAAATGAAATAAAAGAAAAAACAAATGGACTTTTGCACTGTATGCAAAAATTGCTGCCAACAAGAGGATTTGTTGAGCCACACCTAAACAGCACCAAGTACCAAATGTCAAACATAGAGTTTTATTTACCGTTCAGAACAATAAATGATGAAACTCACGCTTTAAAAAACCTAATGTGTCCAAAAGAACAAAAAATTAAATGATAAGCTAAAAAAATTTAAATTTATTGACTTGTAACACATAAGAAGCAATTGTTCAGCATCAGTAAACGGTGTTGCACGTATCAATATGGAAGCTGTTTCAATCATTGATTCCAGTCGAGTTGGTATTTTCAGATAACTTAACTGTTCCAGAGCAAATCGAGCTAATTTGAATGCTCCTAATGCACGACTCTGTTTCGCCAAAACAAAGAAAATTTTACTGTAAAATTGTTGAAAGTTTAAACCAATCAAATTAAATTTTTAATTCAAGATCAATCTATCTAAAGTGCAATACTAGTGTTTTAGCTTTCAAAAAAGTACAGCCAGTAGAAATTATAATCACTTTTTCCACAGCTGAGTGAGTACATCAACGCTCTCCCTCCCTTCCTCTCTCCCAAATGAGGCATCTTGAAGAAAAAAATTGGTAGATCAAAACTGGAAAAGCTGAACACAAAAACGGTTTAGAAAACAATAAAACAGGGTTTTCATTGTCTTTTTTTTCTTCAGCAGTGGGATAGAAATTCAAAATTGAAATGCCAAGTATCTAAAACACATAAAAAAGTTGTTTCCTTCCACAGAATGTTCTCTAATACTGTGAACAAAGTTTGCAATCGAAAGTCAGTTTTATAATTATATTAAATCTCGTTTTACAAAACTAATAAATTGCTATACTTACACACGTGAAATTTTGGGAATAGCTGGTTGGAACGCTAGAAACCGAGCAATGTTGATTAAAGCTTCTGGTGAATAACTCGCAAACGGTTCAAGCTAAAACAGCATTATATCAAATGTCAAAAGTTGACTGCAAAATAAAATAAAATTTGAAAACAGACAAAATTTAAAAAGAAAAGGAAATTTTGTCAAGTTTTTACTCCTGATATTTCTTTCTGTAAAATTTAAATTATGAATCGAAGTGCGAAACCAGAAGCAATAAAAAATTTTGTTGCAGTACTAAATGACTACAAAACATTACGAAGTATCTGTTGATGGCATCATAAGCATAAAAACATTCAGCTTTTATCATTTTTTCTTTATTTTTCAGCAATTTTTCTTTATCTTCTAAATCGCAACACAGATATTGCATTCCCAGAAGCCAGTTGTAATAACCAGCATCAAGATATCGGTGCTCTATAACAGCATTTTCGGCTAACTGTCCAAGCACCTGAAGTGCCTCTTCGTCGTGTCCAGCCAAATGAAAAGCTGAAAAGTGTTGACGAAATTATGATGATACTATAGCTGCTAAAACAAGCATGATGCAGAAGCGTAAATTTAAAAGTTTCAAAGACATCTTCAATCGCAGAATTGTATGTTAAGCAGACATATTTGCTAATTTACAATGAAAGATTTGCTCATTTGTAAAAAAATCTTTTTCTTTTCATTTACTAATTTGCAACCTTTAAAATACAAAACCAACAACAAAACAGCAACAGTCTAAGTTTAACAATACCTTTCTGAGCTTCTTCAAACCTGTCATTTTCAGCAAGGTAACGCGCATACGGCAAATAAACATCCTCTTTGAACTTGGGATACTGTGAAGCAAGAGCAAAGGCCTAAAAATACATGAATACCGTCCGTTAAATCATACTATACAACAATTCAAAAGGTATACTGTCA